TAGCCAGACTAACCAGAGGGCACAGAGACAGTATCCAAATTAATAAAATCAGAACTGAAAAGGGAGACATGACAACAGAAATTGAGGAAATTCTAAAAATCATCAGATTCTACTATAAAAGCCTATACTCAACAAAACTGGAAAATTTGGATAAAATGGACACTTTTCTAGACAGATACCAGACACCAAAGTTGAATCAGGAGCAGATAACCCATCGAAACAGTTCCATAACCCCTAAAGAAATAGATGCAGTCATTAAAAGTCTCCCCACCTGTAGGACTGTGAAAGGACAGCATGGTTTCTAGTTGAGCATCAGCTAGAGATGGCTAGATTCCCAGCAGGTTGGAGACCTCACAGGTTTCCCTACAAGGGACTGCATATATACCCAGAAGATGCTTCAACATATAACAAGGACACATGCTCCACTATGTTCTTAGCAGCCTTATTTATAATAGTCAGAAGCTGGAAAGGACCCAGATATCCTTCAACAGAGGAATGGATACAGAAAATGTGGTACATTTACACAATGGAGTATTGCTCAGCTATTAAATACAATGAATTCATAAAATTCTTAGGCAAATGGACAGAACTAGAAAATATTATCCTGAGTGAAGTAACACAATCACAAAAGAAAATACATGATATGCACTCAGTGATAATTGAATATTAGCCCAAACGCTCACAAGAGCCAAGATACAACTCACAGACTACATGAAGCTCAAGAAGAAGAAAGACCAAAGTGTGGGTGCTTTGGTCCTTTTTAGAAGGGGTAACAAAATACTCATAGGAGCAAATAGGGAGACAAAGTGTGGAGCAGAGGTTTAAGGAGGAGCAGTCCAGAGATAGCCCCACCTGGGGATCCATCCCATGTGCAATCACCAAATGCAAACACTGTTGTGGATGCCACAAAGGGCATGCTGACAAGAGCCTGGTATAGCAGTCTCCTGAGAAGCTCTGGCAGAGCCTGACATATACAGAGGCAGATGCTCAAAGTCAATCATTGAACTGATCATGGGGTTCCCAGTGGAGGAGTTAGAGAGAAGACTGAAGGAGCTGAAAGGGCTTGTAGCCCATGGGGAGAGTGACAATACCAATCAACTAGAGCTCCCAGAGTCGAAACAGCTAGCCTAGGAACACACATGAAGGGACCCATGGCTTCAGCTGTATATGTAGTGGTGGATGGCCTTGTTGGGCATCAGTAGGAGAGTAGGGCCTTGGTCCTGTGAAGACTGGATACCCCAGTGTGGGGGAATTTGAGGTGGGGAGGCAGGAGTGGGTAAATGGATGGGGGCACACCATCATAGATGTAGGAGGAAGGAGGATGGAATAAGGGGTTTCTGGGGGGGGATGGGGAAAGGGGATAACATCTGAAATGTAGATAAATAAATTATCCAATAATAATAAAACAACAACAACAACAACAACACCCAGATAATGGAACTGGCTATTGCAGTTGAGCATTTGAGACTTTTTACAAACAATTTAATATTACCCACATTACTGGGAATCCTTATAATTCTCAAGGACAATGGACTGCAGAAGAGGCCCATAGAACTTTAAAACAATATCTTCATAAAGTAAAAAAGGGGGAGGTATATCCACATATACCAAAAATTTATTTAAATCATGTTCCTTTTATTGTAAATTTTTAAAAAAGCTTGGATGCTAAGGAACTTTATGCTGAGTGTCTATGCCACCCTACAACTAGGCATACTTATGCCTAGATGAGAAGGAAGGATCCATTTACTAGCATTTGGCATGATCCCAACCAGGTATTAATATGGGGAAGGGGGCATGTTTGTGTGTGTGTATGTGTGTGTGTGTGTGCGTTTCAGGATGCTGAAGGAGCATGGTGACTGCCAGAGTGAAGGGTAAGACATGCTGATGCTGAGACAATGAATGATGGTGACCTGTGAGCTTGCTGAGTGCCCTGACAATGATGACTGGGAAGCTGTATTGGACATATGTTTCCAACCCACCTTTACTTACCTATACCCTGATGGGACAAGCTGCCTTGCCTCAAATTTTTAGACCTTGTGGAATAGAGAATCAAAAAGAGAAGTTATAATGACTCTTGTAGTTTTCTTAAATATGACCAGTTATTCAGATTCAATTCAATATTGAAAATAACAATCTTCATTTGGAAGGCTGGTTCTGGACATTTTCAGAGACATATTTGGAAGTTAGCTGCAATTCTCTATGATGTTACGTTAGCAAGAGATAAAAGTTGGGACAGGATCTGGATTTGAAACAAGTGTTAGTACATGTGTTAAGGGTCTTTCAATGGTCAAGCTAAAATGACTTTTGCTTCTTTTACAGTATTTAATGTAAGTTGCACTGATTGTATACTTTCTAATTGTGTTAGTGGTTTGAAAACATGGCATGTGTATTACAGAGGTCTATCAACCAGCTTTTGTTTTATTGCCCTGAATATTAGAAAGCCTTGGTATTCTGAAAAGAGCTGACAAGTAATGGAAGAAGTGAGTCAGGTTTTAAGCAGAAGCAAGAGGGTAGTGGGCTTGATTATTGATGGTATAATAGCTTTAATTACATTAATTGCTAGCAACACTGCTTCTGCAATTGCTTTGATTCAAGAAGTTAAGACAGATACTTTTGTTAATCATTTAACAAAAAATGTTACTAATGTGTTGAATATACAAGAGGATTTAGATAGGCATTGGAACAACAGATTGATCGATTGATGTTCTTTATCCTATTCAAATTATTGGAAGGAGGTTCAGAGTTTAAGAGTAAGGAGCCATCTCAAGTGTCTTTCTAAACACCATTGGATTCCTGTTACTTCTAAAATTTACAATGATAATCATTATAATTAGGAAAAAGTTTAAAGACACTTGCAGGATATTTGGCATAATTCTAACACCTCTCTGGATGTTCTAACTTTGTATAGTGAGTTTATTAATTTAAAGAATTCTGCTCTGCTGAGTGTTGATGCGGCAGATACTGCTGATAAAATTGCTCATGGCCTAAGGTCAGTATTTCTATTTTTGTCAAGCTTCAAGAATGGCATATATAGCTTGATCATGCTAGCCCTTTTTGTCTTGGGAATACTTTTATTCCTGTCCATTGTGTTAAAGCTTGTCTTTAACAACATCAACATGTTGGCATCCAAAGTACATGGCGTGAAACTGAAAATGGACCCCCAGACAGAGTTATCAATTTAATAGGCTGGACAAATAAGCCTGCACAAGCCAAGGACAAATAAGATTCTGCACAGAGCCTTACCAACCTAAGACAGAAGTCCATTGCTTTTAATAATGCATATTCCATGATGGGTAAGGAAGGCATTCTAGTCAGAATGACCTAAGACAGGCTTAGTCTTGTTTATCAAATAAAAAAGGGGTATAGGTAGAGAGCTTTTGCGGCTGCTTGGCAAGAATCTGACATTAGGCTAGAACAAAGAAATAATTTCAGGCAGGAATCTAAATCTTAGGCTAGAACAAATACGTAGGCTTCAGACATGAAAATTACTTTGGTCTAGGAGAGGGAAGTAGGCTCAGATATTTTGGTCATCCTGATTAACCCTTAGAAATAGTGATCATGGGAGTGATTACAGAACTTCTTTTATTGCCTTGCTTGTTCTTTGACTGTTTGTGTTTATTATTTTGCTTGTTCCTTGACTATTTGCATGTTTTGGATTGCTAGTTCCTCAACCTAGAGCTGACCTTAATACTTGCATTAATTAAAATAGTATAAAAGCAAAAAGGAGGAGGGGGGATGGAATAGCGGGATCTGGGAGGGGGAATTGGAGAAAGGGGATGACATCTGTATTGTAAATAAATAAAATATCTAAAAATAAATATCCAATCAAAAAGTTATAACTAAATTTATTGAGCAATAAATTAAATATTGGAAATATGTATTTAAAGAAAGAAAGCATAAAATGCTTTTCCCAGATTTTATTTTTAGATATAATAGTTAAGAAGAACATAGCCTAAAGACAAATACAGTACCAAAAATTTGGGACATCAAACGAGATAACTTTTGTTTCCAAATATTGGATGCTTGAGATTTCTTTTTTGCTTGAAAGTTCATACATTCATGGGATGAGTTCCCCTTTCTTCTGCTGAAATTTTTCTCAAAAATTTCTCTTTCTACTCTTATGTCTTCTTTTTTTGCAAGACCCAATTAGTTTAGTTAGTTTCTTAACATGAAGGAATATTTTGTACCAGAATGAGGATAACTACACCCCTGAAGAAGGTGACACCTCCCCCAACAACTATTAGTGTCAGTATTTCCATGAGGTTGGGTTGGGACTTCATGGACAACTCCCGTATCTATCATGAGATGCTGATTGGCCCCATCTTATGAAAGTCTTAGCAAATGAAATTAATGAGATTTCTATGGTATAAGTGACAGTACATGTCATAGGACATGTAAGATATCTCATTTTTTAGAGTTCAATATTGTTATGTTTTTCTAAAGTAAGGATGATACTTATTTCTCTCAGACCCTTCTTACTTTATACACTGCTCAACATCACGTCCTTTTACAAAATACTTTCTATAACTCAATTAGTTCTGTTAGTGCCACCTATATGTGTATAGATTTAGAGCCATATATTGGAGCCAGGGCAACTTACTGAGAGCCATATCCCTCAAGGTACCTGGTTTCCCCATCCCTAGTAGCCATGTACTGCCAATAGCACTTGAGTTGAGGTTAGGGCCTACTGAATCACAACCACCAATCTATACTTACATATTGTTTGGTTTGCTCATGTGTGTGTCTCATGCAGATAACCAGAGCACCTTTGAGTTTATAAGTGCAACTGCCTTGACATTTATGGAAGACACTGTATTTCAGCAGTCTTCCACTTCTGGGTTTCCATATCTTTCCTCACCATCTTCTGAGATGTCCATATAATCTGTGGCAAGGGCTATGCTATACACACTACAGTATAATTTTTTCCCATTTCATCTCTATGTGCATTTAGTATTACTAATATTAAAATATTAATGTTTACATTTAAATGTCTTTAATAGGCCATATTGTTGGAAAATATGGGTCTTATGAAATTTGAAGAATTTTTGGTCATATTAGCACGAGTTCAAGATACCAGGCCAGTTTCAGATGAAAACATTACAGTGATTGACACAGACTTCGGTGACATTCCTGTTCGTCTGTATTTACCCAAAAGGAAGTCTCAAAGACAGAGACCTGGTATAATTTTTATTCATGGTGGTGCCTATGCCTTGGGAAGCTTCAGTAAGTATATGTTTTAAATATGTGTTTTATTTGATTGCATTTATTATAGTAAATGGAACTCTGTGCATTCTCATAAACTTGATTCATTTCTCCTGTGCCAGGGTCCAGTTCCGGTGTGTGTGTGTGTGTGTGTGTGTGTGTGTGTGTCTATCTTCTTCTTTCTTCTTGTTGGTTCATCTTGAGGCAGTGGAGGGGGAAGAGCATTGGTAGGGGTAAGATTTGGTCTTAAGAGATTTGAGGTAAGACTTCATCTTACAAGATATTTAGAGTTGCTGTATAATAAAAGTTTACTTATCTAAGTTACTATGCTACTGTAGCTGACCTACCTTCTGTGATCCTCTGAGGCAGAAACTGCAGTTTCTTGCACTTAGTCATGCTAAAACAGCAAAGAATTAAGTAAGTAGCCTTTGTACTATCTCAGCAGGAACTGCTGGGCTCTAACTTATGATTGCTAGTCTGATTTCGCAAGAAGAAAAGACATTTAGAGAAGTTATTATAGAGTTTATTACTAAGTGTAAAAAGTTTCCTATGGAAGCTGTCTAAGGGGAAAAGTGGAAAGGTGCTAAGTGGGGAAAGGAAAAATTCTAATAAGGGAAAAATTCTAAGGGAAAAAATTCTAGGCAGGGGAAAAGGAAAGTAAGGGACGAATGAACTCTCTTGTCTTCAGTACTTATATATTTTTCAGAATAAATGATCACATGTTACAAAGTTCATCACAAGTTCACACCAAAAATCAAGTCATAAATTGAAATAGAAGTTTACAACAGAGAATGTTTACATGCATATCCATTAGGAGTAATTATCTGGCTAAACATCTATCACCTGTCCAACTCTATAGGTTCACTGAAGGTTTAAAACTATAACTAAGTTATTAGTGAAGTTTTGTACAGATAAATCCAGGAAATATTTTATCTTCTGTCCTAGCACCTATAATAAATCATTACTTCCCTTTTAATGACCTTAGGTTAATTGTTTTACAACCTCTTGGAATGTGCTCTGAGTAGGAGAAAGTCTGGTTACTATCTAAGAGCAATTAACTGATGACACTTGGGAGACTGGCAGAGTTCTCATTGTAGTTATGACTATCAGAAAGGGACCTAATAGCAGTCCCACTATAAGAGAGCTTAGTGTAATCATTGATATAATTTTAGGAATTATTATAGGATCATCATTAAGACTTAAGAAGTCATCTATCTGTCTATATAGCATCACTATAACAGAGTACATCTTTGTGGATCTGCAGAGATCTGCTCCAAAGGGTGGGCTATTACTTAGTGATTGTTATATTTGTTTAATAATAATAGGAAAAGCATAATAACAGGAATCTTTCCTTAAAAAGTTCCTTACAGCCTTGCTGAATACTGAATAAGGATTCACTTGTTGTAGATTATATAATAATCCAAGGTAAGCCATTTCAGAATGATCACCTGTTAGTTATTAGCTTGTCCCATTATGGCTCCTGACACTCCTGCAGTGTTTCATTTTCCCCTTAAACAGTTGATAGGAGTTACTATGCTTGTGTTTTATAGGATGAGTACAATTTTATGCTCATTAAGTGAATCATGGTTTGCAAATAAATTTTGACATTTTTTTGTTAAAATTCTAATTATAAATTTACCTTTTCTTATTATCACCTCTTTGCATAATCACTAGATACAATCCATAGATAGTTTCTATAAGAAATTACTCAAGCAAGAATGTGTTGACTGATTTTAACTACAATTAAAATTTTCACTTATATTCAGAAAACTATCTTAAAGTTTACTTGTAAATGTATTAAATATGAATGACTTCATTAAAAAGTCTAAACCTCGCATAAGGGAAAAAGCTTATTTTTTAAAATTACCCCAAGAAGTATATATAGTAAATTGAAGTTCCATTATTAAAAAATTACAGTAATTCTAAAAGATCTTTAAAGATTGATTATGTGATTATCTGATTTTATGAATATTATAGTGATGATTTTAACACTGTCTTTAACTTACTTCTAGATTTCTGATTTAAAGCCAGTTTAATGGATATGGCAGTAGTTACTTCGAAAGAGTCAAGAATTACACTTTTTCCTCTCCCAGAAAAAAAAATGAGCAAAAGAATAGTTTGTTACTACTACTGAAGCTTTGGGATTATGATCCTCACCATTCCTCAGTGGTTAGTGTCAGTGCAATATCGCCTGGTGTAGTTTACGTACTGCTCAGGCACATGCCTTCTCCTGATGAATCCGACCCCAGACAAGAACAGAGCATGATGCTTATAGACCATGCTCTGCAGCTAGGGTCATATGAATGAGCAACACAAAGAACCCAGTGGAAGTTTTCTAAGAGCACAAAAGTAGGTCATCAGAACACAAGTTTGCTTATTTCATTGTGACCAAACTGAGTTTGTCTTCTAGGCCAGCTAAAGAGTAATTTAGCAGGCATAATAAGATGGTATTGTTACTTCAATTTTCCTATATGTTGTGACAGAAGTGTTGATTGGCAGGTTTCCATCAAGTAACCACAATTCAAATAAATTATGATTCATAGATGTGTCAGGGTTGTCATTGCTTGGCTTTTATGGAGCTCTGTTCTACACTTATTTCTTGTATTCCAGAGATGCTTCCTTATGATTCCATGAACCGAAGGACAGCCAACAAACTTGATGCTGTTGTTATTGCTCTAGAGTAAGAGACCTGAAAATCCTTATTTTTGTGGTATTTTCCCTCCCAGGATAAACTTCCTTTATAGTCCAAGTCTCATAGTCCTCAATGGTAGTTGGGTTACTACTAGGAAATTTTGGTTCATAATTTTATTTCCTTAGTACTACAATATCAGTGAGTCCTCAACAAGGCACAATTTTGCTTTCATCTCTGCCATGGTAGGCACCTGTGAGATACAGAGGAGTAAGCATCTTTGTGCATAAAACAGTGATAGCTCTGAGAACATAAAGCCTACATAGGTAATATACCTACAATGTATACCCGTCATATCTGAGGGGTATTGGGTTTTATTTGATATGATAATAAGAACAATGTATGTTAGGTCTATTCCTGGGTCCAGTGATATTAGAACCAATGCTGGGACCATTCAAATACTTCAATAACCTTTTAAATGACAGTTCTTAGCATTTTATGACCTTTGCTCCTCAAATGTCCAATAATATACTAGAAAGTTTAATATATGCCTATTACTTTATGACATACTGGGTATATTCTGTACTTCTTAAATCCCATCATGAAGTTGGAGAAACATAGCTTTTACTTGTCAATATTATAGTACAGAAATTAGTTTGCAAAATTTTAGTCTTGTGCAGAAACACTATAAAGGATTTTGACTGACAGTATTATAGAGTCAAGTTGCAAGACTAGAAAATTCAGTACTGTCCTGTTCATGACTACCTCATCAGAGCAAATGGAGTTACTATGTCTGAGAATATTCTAAACAGTAATGATAGTTTGCTTTTCTCATTATAATTTAGCCAGTATTTCCACATTACAATTTAAAGAAGCTTTTTAAAAAACAGAGTAAAATAAGGTATATCCAGTTTAAGCATTCTATAGTTTTTAGGCAATTTTTTTAATTCCTGTGAAATATAATATTTTAATGTTGCTTGGTTGATATTAAGCTACTTAAAAACACTTGGACACATCTTAAAAGTTGAAAATTCGCAAGGACTGTCTGAATATTATTGTTTATTATTGTTTCAATTAACTGTGTATAATTGAAGAAATCAATGGATGTTTTAGGGTCTAAAAGAGAGAGTTAAAAAGGGAGACAGCTTAACTGAGGTGTGATTCTATAACAGAACATAGTGAGAGGTGGGCAAGAATGGAGAAAGTACAAATTGTGATACTATTTTGTCTTAAGACTTACAGTATTTTGGTAACATACTTTACATGTTCATATATTTTCTAATTTTAAGTTCCTTGAATTATCTACTCAATAATCATGAATTGCTTTTGAATCACCAACTCTATTGAGGGCCTAGTGAAGCTTGCAGATTTTCTGAGGGCAAAGATATATCTTATCTCACTCTTCTCCCAATAGAAACAATACCCCAAACCCTTTAAATCAAAATCTACTTCTTGTTTTAAAATTGAAATTTTTAGTAAGCCCAGGTTAGTTGTTAGAATTAAATGTTCAAAATGGGATAATTTAAAAAAAATCTGGGGAAATTGAGAGATAATTGAAAACATAAATTTAATAATAATTTTTCTACTGGTTTAGTTTGTGTGTTTTGTTTGATTAATTTACCTTTAAAGCTACAGACTTGCTCCTCAGCATCCATTTCCAGCTGCCCTTGAAGATTGTATTTTTGTGATCAAGTTCTTTCTTCAGGATAAAGTTCTTGAAAAATATGGAGTGGATCCCACTCGCATCTGTATTTCAGGAGACAGTTCCGGGGGCTCCTTGGCAGCAACAGCGAATCAACTGGTATGTTATATGTACTATATATGATAGAAACCAGCACAGTTTAGTCAGAAACAGAAGAATCTATACAATGTATAATGTCCCAGTAAATTTATTCTTTTTGCATGATTTTAACTTTAGTTTTGGCTTTAAGTAAGTAATATTAAATAAGGATTTCATAATCCTTCTCTCACTCTTATCGATCTCTCTGTTTGTCTGTATATCTGTCTCTGTGAGTGTTTGTATGTGTGCGTGTGCGTGTGTGTGTGTTTACTGAGCATTGAATCCAATGTCCAATGTTGTGTGCTTGCTAGACAAATAGTCTACCATGGAACTATTTAATTACTTCCTTTTAAACTCTTCTCAAGTTGGCCTACCTTATCATACAAAGTTTAAAAATATACCAACGACTATGAACTACCATTTAATATAAGCTTTAATGCTAATTTTTAACAATAAATTGTAAAAGTCTCTTACGATGTTGGTATCACTGTACTTAATGTATATTGCTTTCTTGTCTCTGTGACTAGAAAAGATGACAAGAAGCAGCTAAAGGAGAAATGAGTTATGGGCTTATGCTGTGACAAGGTACATCATGGTAGAAAAGCAATGGAAGTGGGAGGGGTTTATCTCTGGGTGGAGCAGGAGGGTGGAACTGTTTGCTTACATTTCTCCAGGACACAAAAAGAGTCATGAAGCAGAGGGCATGAAGAAATGGTGCCCAGTGACTTGTTCCCCCTGCCTTGCTCAGCTAGCGTTCTTATGCAAGATGGAACCTTCCATAGTGGGCTAGGGATATCAATTACTTGTTTAGAATATCCTGCATAGTCTCAACCATAGGCCAGGCTAACAGAGACATTTTCTTTATTCTTCCATCCTCTCAAATAAATCTAGCTTTTGTTATGTTTTTCAAACAAAACAAAACAAAACAAAACTGGTCAGGACTATTGAGTTCTTGTCACTGTGACATAGAAACATATCAGTATTCAACTCTAGCTTTTCATCTTTTACTTATTCATAATATCTTACATTAATATTACTATATCAATATTCAACACATTTCAACTTTAAAAGTCCTAGAATCTTTGCAAATTCCAAGACTTTGACAGTTCAGTTACTATAAAATATTCAAAGTCTCTTTAAAATTCCAGTCTATTACTATGGGCATCTATAAAGTAATAAATTACTTAAATACTTTTGTATTCCAAGAAGGAAGGATTAGAGCATGCTCACAATCAGAACAAAGCAAGAAAAATGCTCAACATAACAAAACTCAGTGTGAGACACTGAAGAGTCACTATATAAGCTCCAAAAGGCGGGACACAGCACATGTACCAAGTCTCATAATCCTTGTCTAGCTTACTCGATAGCTGTTGCTGTTCTTAGAAACCCCATGTTACTGACATCTCCAAAATGCTATGATCCCCACAGCAACTGGACTTAACAAGTACTGAAAGAGCTTTTCCTGTACTCTCTTCAGAGTCTCGGACACTCACATGGAGCCAAAACCCAGCCTCCTTTCATGACCCTTTCAGTCCTTAGGCTTCTATGTCCCCTGAGGCTTCACATTCATCAGTAGCCTTTATGGTCCTCTCATCATGCCTGCCAAGCCTTTACTACTCCCCATGAACTCTTCATTCATTTAAAAATCTGTACCACCCGGGAAACTGTATATTACCAAATTCAACTGCCAGCAGCAAGTAAAACCTTGGCCCCACCTGGAGTATTGACCCCAAGGAAACACTTCCCAGAAGATTTTGACTCAGTGATATATGTCTCTTCTTAACTATAGCTGATTCTTCTGCCCAAGCAAACAGTATTGATTGTCTCTGGTAAACAAACATTTTCACTTTAGTGGTTCTTAATTCAAAATATCACACAAATGGCCATGATAGAGTCTTTAAGAGATTTTCAAATTTCTGGACAAATGCTGCTTACTGGCTTGATCCTCATGGCTTGCTCAGTCAGCTTCATTATACCATTTGGTACAGCCCACCCAAAAGTTGTATTGCCCACAATGGAATGGGTACTCCTACAGTAATCACTAGTTATGAAAACATGCCACAGGCTTGCTACAGGCTAATCTTACAGAGACATTTTCCAAGTCACTTTATCATCTCAGATATCTCTAGTTTGTGCTGGTTTGACAAAAACTAATCAGGACACCCACCAAGTACATTTTGTGCAGTCCACACATTCTTGGATGTTTTAGCTTTGCTCAAGGGTGGAGAAGTCACTAGAAGCCACCTCCTTAAGGAAAACCTACTTTCCCTTTCCCAACATTCATCAAAAATCAATAGCTCCTTTGAGAAATTGAGACTTTGAGAAGTCAAACTGAATGATGTTTAAGGATTGACACATATTATTTGCTAAGTAAATTTAATAATTTTCATTTAAATTTTAAATAATAATTTAAATTTTAGTAGAAATCTAAGCATATGTGTAGTTCAAGTTCACAGGAAGGGAATAAACACATTTATAATGATCTTACTTTTTTACACAGGTAAATATAACATTTCTTTGTATTTTTACTTTCTTTTCTTTTAAATTTTTACTTAATTTTATCATTTTTTTTCATGTATGAGTGGTTTTGCCTGCATGTGTCTGTGCCCTATGTGCATGCAATGCTCACAGAAGCCAGAAGGTGGCAATGTACTCCACAGAAACTTGAGGTATTGACAGTTTTGAGCCACCATGTAGGTACTGGGACTCAAACTCTCATAACCGCTCTTAACTGCTGAAACATTTCTACAGCTTGGCAACATGTCTGTCATTAATAGAAAATTATAACACTTTTTATTGAAAAAATAAAAGAATACATGATTTTAGAACTTCGAAAATCTATTAATAACATTTGCTAATTAATTTTGCAGAATAGTTTTTTCTTTTTAATTCACAGTTATATTGGTTGACCAAAGATACTGAGCTTCATCCGAGCTCAACCTTTAAGAACCTTCCTTTATCCAATGATTTGTTTTTTCCCTTGAAGTTTTCTTTCGTTTCTTTTATTCAGGAAAAATTTTAAAGAGTTTCTGTTTTAGAGATATGATAAAATCATATCTTAAGCCGTATCATATTATTTATTGGATATTTTATTTACATTTCAGATATTATCCTCTTTCCCTATTTGTCCTCCCACTCAGAAATCCCCTATCCTGCCCCCACCCACTCCTTCCTCCCCACCCTCAAATTCTCTCACACAGGGGCATCCAGCCTTCATGGGACCAAGGACTTCCTCTCCCGCCTATGTCTGACAAGGCCAGACAAATGCCATCCTCCCCTACATATACAGCTGGAGCCCTGGAGCCCTCCCTAAGGCTCCCAGGCTGGTGGTTTAGGCCCTGGGAGCTCTGGTTGGTTGGTATTGTTGCTCTTCCCATGGGGCTGCAAACCCCTTCAGCTCCTTCAGTCTTCTCTCTAACTTCTCCTTTGGGAACCCCATGTTCAGTTCTATGGTTAGCTTTGAGCATCATCTTCTGTATATGTCAGGCTCTGGCAGACCTCTAAGGAGACAGCTGCATCAGGCTCCTGTCATCATGCACTTCCTGGCATCCACATCAAGTGTCTGCCTTTGGTGACTGCACATAGGATAGATATCCAGGTGGAGCAGTCTCCAGATGGCCCCTCCTTCCGTTTCTGTCCCACACTTTGTCTCTATATTTGCTCTAATGAGTATTTTGTTACTCCTTCTAAGAAGGACTGAAGCACCCACACTTTGGTTTTCCTTCTTCTTAAGCTTCATATAGTCTGTGAATTCTATCTAGGGTATTCTGAGCTTTTGGCCTACTGTCCACTTATCAGTGAGTATATATCATGTGTGTTCTTTTGTGATTGAGTTACCTCACTCAGGATGATAGTTTCTAGTTCCATCCATTTGCCTAAGAATTTCATGAATTCACTGTTTATAATAGCTAAGTAATACTCCATTGTGTAAATGTACCACATTTTCTGTATCCATTCCTCAGTTGAAGGACATCTGGGTTCTTTCCAGCTTTTGGCTATTATAAATAAGGCTGCTATGAACATAGTTGAGCATATGTCCTTGTTAAATGTTGGAGCATCTTTTGGGTATATGCCCAGGAGTGGTATAGCTGGGTCCTCAGGTAATGCTATGTCCAATTTTCTGAGGAACCACCAGACTGGTTTCCAGAGTGGCTCTGGCTGTATCAGTTTGTAATCCCACCAACAATAGAGGAGTATTCCTCTTTCTCCACATCCTCACCAGCATCTGCTATCAGCTGAGTTTTTGATTTTGGCCGTTCTGACTGGTGTGAGGTGGAATCTCAGGGTTATTTTGATTTGCATTTCCCTGATGACTAAAGATGTTGAACATTTCTTTAGGGACTTCTCAGCCATTCAATATTCTTCAGTTGAAAATTTTTGTTGGGCTCTGTACCCCATTTTTAATAGGGTTATTTGATTGTCTGGAGTCTACTTTCTTGAGTTCTTTGTACATTTTGGATATTAGCCCTCTATTGTATGTATGATTGGTAAAGATCTTTTCCCAATCTCTTGGTTGCTGTTTTGTCCTATTGACAGTATCCTTTGCCTTACAGAAGCTTTGCAATTTTATGAGGTCTCATCTGTCAATTCTTGATTTTAGAGCATAAGTCTTTGGTGTTCTGTTCAGGAACTTTCCCCCTATGCCCATGTGTTCGAGGCTTGTCCCTACTTTCTCCTCTATTAGTTTCAGTGTATCTGGTTTCATGTGGAGGTCCTTGATCCACTTGGACTTGAGCTGTTCTATAAAGTTCAATCACATAGAACTGCACATAAAAGAAATTATTGAGAATTTTAAATTATAGCTGCTGAGCTTTTAAACAAACATGAAGTCTTTCTGGGTGCAGGGCTTTTTACGAGCACATGACTAGTCTTTTACACATGATAATCTCTAATGTTCCACCAGTAAAAGAATGTTATTACACTATTCAAAACCATGGTATTGAAAATCAATAAAAATGTTAGAGATTACATATGCAAAAGAGGTCATGTATTTGGAACAGATCAAGGAGGCATATAAGAGATGGCTTGAAAGGGAAAAGAAGAAAAAATCATGTTATTATAAACTCAAAAATAAAAGAAGTAACTAAAATGTGTCACTTCACTGTGGGAATAGTAGTACATTTTTTTTACATTAATCTTCTAGCTTACTAGGTTCATTTGTCTTAATTGTAATTTTTTGTAAAGTTTCAGAATCCTTATTCTGAAGTCATGTTGTTGAATGTGACATCATTGTTGTATCCTGAATCAAAAAGGAAGCATTAATTAAACAATTTCAGCTTTGTCCACATAACAAGTGTAGAATTACATTATCATATTTCATTTTTCATTTGAACTTTGCAATCTAGTTTGAGTCATTTGTAAAGTAATAATATTCTCACCTTAATCATATCCTTTTAGTCAGCTTGTATATAGGGTGAGAGATGCATCCTGGTGCATGTTCATTTTTCAAGAGGCCCATCCATTCTGGATGATGTTTTCATGAGGATCAATTCGAGTGTATTTTCCTTCTCTGAAGGGTCAACTTTCTTCTGTGAGTTTGTGTGGCACTAGAATGAATACACCTAACACTTAACCACACTGTCTATATTAATTACAAGACACAGTTGTTACATAGTTGCTACCTACTTTTAAATACTATCTTTATGACTACAATGATAACATCTGTCATTACGTATAAAATCCTCAAAATTGTATTAGTTGATCTATCCTTGCATGCAGTGTCTGGAGGGGACAGAAATAGTCACTCAATCCCCTGGCTGGAGTTACAGACAGTTGTGGGCCACCACATGAGTGCTAGGAATGGATGTCAGGTCCTCTAGAAGAACAGTCAGTGTTATTGACTGAGCCATTTCTCCAGCTACAGTTCTGCATATATTTTTAGGACATAGTATGACACATGGTCTTTAATGTAAGGTGGGAATTGAACATTGGTGCACTGGAATTCAAGCATATTGCTCTATGAAATTAGGAAGTGATTCTCTTGCTTAGGTGTTTGCATGCACAAACATACAAGTGAATGCTTATGGGTAAAATTAAAAATGCACCAGAGTACCTGCAATAATTGTTATCAGACTGCTAACCCTGTGGTTGTGATGATAAGTTGGATAATTTATACACTATGTAACTGAAGAAGATTAAACTTGACCTATGTCTTGAAATAAGATAGGTGAGGATATTGGAGTCAGGATTAGTAGACAAATAAGGGAAGAAGTATGGCTATAAGGATTGGAACATGTGTGGAAAATGTGTGTTGGAGCTGGAATGCTAAGACCTGTACCAATACTGTCTACTAGCAGACCCTGTCCTTGTTGGTTCCGTTCTATGCATTCTGCTTTATCAGCCACACTGGAAAGAATAAGGGATTTCTTCTCAATCATTGCTACACCTGCTTCATTTCTTTGCAGTGTCTACTTAAGTTTATAATGGTGGCTTCATGAAAAGTCTAGAAGTAATTCAAGAAACGTATCATATGGTGGTTATGATACACCTCTTATCATGAGTTGACTTTTCTAGCTGGGAGGGAGGGGGTAGCCATCCAAATGCAGTGGTTTTCCTTCCAAGGTTCTGGTACAGGGAAATGAGGGAGAGGGTCTCCAGGTTCATATAAAGTCGAACACCATACATTGACTCTGGGGTAAAAGTAACTACCTTTTCTGAAAGCATAGGCGTGTCATCACAAAACTCCATGAGATAGAAAAGACTGGAAAAGGCAGTAGTTTTGTTAACATGTCTCCTATCTTCATCCCTTTTGGTCAAATCAGACCCTGTGATTTCTCTGGCTTGTTAATGGATAAAATATTTGTGTTTACTGCTCAGCTTTTCATGGTGCTAATAAATCCAATCAATGATAAGTCTTCAATTACTGACCTTTTACGTAGAAAGGACCCTTATAAGTGAAGGCCCTATTCACCGGAGCTTCTGGGAGATTTGGCATGTGATACTCTGGAAATATTGTAGTGTACCAGGAACCACTGTTCTGGGGTTTCTCATAACAAAGGACAGTGGTTTTAGGAAGTATTTAGAGGTAAGGACAATATCTTACAGCTTTAACACAAAAGACACTGAAAAAGTAACTGTGTGGCTCAGGATAGGGTTAGAGATATCTGCAAATCCAGACACTCCCTATCTGTGCTCTTTCCATTATGCTAACCTGTTGATTTGTTGGCATTTCTTGGTTTCTCTTGATGTAAATTGTTGTAGAGTTTAAAATATTACTGAGAAAGTCATTATTCTCTTTTTTCTTAATGTGTGATAGATTTAATTTATTTTTCTCTTTTTTGTGTGTCTGTGTGGATTCAGATTCATGTGAGTGTGCATGTGGGTTTGCCCTTGCATGTATATATGTTGTACATATGTGTGTTTAAGCATGTGGAAGTCAGCTGTTCCCTCATTTTCCTTTCCATCCTTTATTTTTTTCTTTCTGAGATAGTCTCTTACTGTGTAGCATTTGTTGGCCTGTAACTTGATAAGTTAACCTGTTTGACCTTGAAAATCATGTATATATGTTATATATACATACATAAAATCATATATATATATAAAATGTATATATATATATATATATATTATGTGTGTGTGTGTGTGTGGTTGTGTGTGGGTGTGTGTGTGAATTCAGAAGTACTTTCCACTGATCCTGGAGCTCACCAGGATCATCTATTAGATTAAATAGCCAGTAAACGCAGATGTCCCTTTATTTCTCTACCCTAGCACTGGAGCAAGGCTCCCACTCTATCCAGGTCTGATTTCAGGTCATGCTTCTGAGGTTTGTTCTAGCAAGGATATTACCAACTGAGTCATGTCTCCAGAATCAGATTTCACCGAATTAATAAGTTTCTTTATATCTCAATGAGCCATGAAAAGCTTAAACTGAAATGTAATCTCCCTGCTCCTCAAGTACCATCAGCACGTTAACTCAACTGGGGACCATGTCAATTTATACATAAAAGAGCTATTGCTTGTCTTAGCCTCAGTTTTACTCTTATGCTACTTATTCTCCAAATGATCTGGAACACTACATTTAATTTGGAAAATTACCAGCCTAAAGACACTGGGAAGGATCAAGAGTCTGACAATATTTTCTTAGGAAAGAAATCTTTCTTCATTTTCCTTATGAACTTGCTGGACTGTGTATCTATTGTGTGTGCATTTTGGAGTTTGTCAAATGAAAGATGTTCTGTTGAAAGATCAACTAATCCTATCATTTTATATAAATTAACTTTTTTGATGGGGGCCTATCCTTGACCTAAACCGATCCTGATCTTCCCTATGGAGGGCTGGATTGCTGTAGAGACAGACATTTGTGGATGTGGCACTACTCTGTAAACACATGTACTGCCTAAGTGATGACACTTGAGAGGCCACTGTGCTTGTTTTTCTGAAGAAAGTAGGACTAGAAAATGAAAGGAAAGCATCTCCTTACAACTACAAACTCTGTTCACTTTCCATCTCTCGTAAAGACAGATTGCACATAAAGATTACACTACGTCCTTCTGCCCTTCTGGGTTTTGTTAAGTATTTTGTGTTTTCTGTCATGTTATAATACTAGTTAGCTAAAGGTAAGACATATGGTAGTACTGTTTTCAACATGTAACAACAAATGGTTATGTCCATTTAAATGGGTATTTGACATGCTGTTTTATTATATTTATTGTTTCTGATCCTTTAGTTACTATGTGTCAAAGATTGTTATAAGCAAGCTGGGCATCATGACATATGCTTATGTCCAGATCACTTGGGAGGCAGTATGTTTTATATAGATAAAATAACTTGTCACCAAAAACTAAAAAATATCTTTAAACATAGCCTTTCTGCCATCTTCAGTAGGACTCTTCAGATCATGGTCCGATTTGCTTGCCATGTGTGAATGAATGTGTGTGAACAGGAGAATGTGTACCACTTTCTCACTGAAGAAGATGGAATGACATGTTCATGTTCCAAACCATGAGTAAATGGAAGAGTAATCATTAGATACTGTTTTAGGTTTATAAATTTATTTACCTCCAATTATTAAAATAAAGGTGCCAATCCTTCTGCTTAAAAGCTATTGACTCATGAACACTCATACTGTATTATATTTACAGCTACAGGATGATCCAGAATACAAAAACAAAATTAAGGCACAAACTTTGCTATATCCTAAAGTGCAGACACTTGATACCTTAACGCCATCTTATCGAGAATATGAACATGGTCCCTTTCTGTCAAGGAAGGTAGCAATTAGGTTGGCATGTCTATATTTGACAGAAGATAAACAGTTGCCCAAGACAGTAATGAGAAATGCTCATGTGCCTCAAGAGTCAAGACACCTGTTCAAGTTTGTTAACTGGAGTGACTTTCTTCCTGAGAAGTACAAAAAGAACCGTGTTTACACTGAACCAATTATTGGAAAACTAACTGAATCCCATCCAGGACTTATGGATAGTAAAATATCACCTTTGCTTGTCAATGATTCCCAGTTACAGAAATTGCCATTAACTTATGTCCTCACATGTGAACATGACATCCTAAGAGATGATGGACTTATTTATGTCACACGACTCAGAAATGTTGGAGTTCCCATCACCCATGACCACATAGAGGATGGAATTCATGGAGCCATATTATTTGCCACAGAGCCACTTTATTTACAAGTAGGTCTGAGATTAATAGATAAGTATATAATTTGGTTAAAAGAAAATCTATGATGGTACATGTAGCTAGTTAGTCATTTAGCAATATAACCTAAAGTTTATACTTTAAGGTATTTTAAAATTGAAGAGTTTAACTATGACTTGAACTTTGGATAAACGTAATTTTAATTGGGTATGTTAGGACAGTTACTTTGCTAATTTTCAATGCTGATAAAATGGAGGTATTTGTTTCATTGTCACCTTAATTACCATGAGTTGAGATACTCTCTATGATTTCTAATCTAGCAGTTCAGAACTAAAAAATGAGTGTAGTTATATTCAAATGATCATGAGAGTTTCCAGGCAGAGATGAGAATGGGGTGATAAGCAAGGAGAGAGTTGCAGGGAGAAACACAACTGTAACATTTGTAAGGAGAACTCATTACACTATATTTCAGCCAACGGTTTTAACTGTGCACAGTCCATACAAAAATTCAATTTCCTCAGGGTAAATTAGATTAGGTTTTGTTTTATCATTCACTTTATATGAAGCTATTTACTACTTATTACAAAATGTTCCTGTGTATTAGAAAGCAATGCTGATATCTTCATTACAAATCATTTCAAAGCTTATATATTTGAACTTTAGCTAAGCTTTAGGAAGACAAAGCCAGGCACAGAGCTACTAATTGGATGTCTATTATAAGTGGTCATTCCTAGACTCATATATATGTAAGTAGTACTGCATCATATATATATATATACATATATATATATATATGTATATATATATATAAATATATATAAATTTATATGGATTTGGTTGGGTTTCAAGAAGAAAACCTTCAAAAGTATAATTACATAATTATAATTTATCTTAATTTTTAAAAGGCTAAAGCTTCATTCATTCTTAGATAATGGTTTCTAATCCAAGATGATACCTAGTCAACTATTTGTGGGAGTCAGAATTATTTGCTGTATTATTTTCATAATTTGAAATGAATCAATAGTCCACATAGAAACTTCATTCCTAATCTAAGAAGGTATCTGAGCTGAGGATACCCAGGCATACTCTCCCTTTCATTATGGGCTCCTCTGTCAGTACCAACAACTGCAAATATAACTGTATTTCAACTGGAAGGCACTAAAATCATTGTCAAATTTTTGGATGTGCTGGTATTGCAGCTGACTCCATATGGTTGTTTTCAGTTGTTTTGTGGTTTTGCTTAAAGTTGAGGAAACTTTGGGAAATTATGTATGTCTTGTGAATTTAATTGATAAGATAATTCTTATCCTCATTACTTTCATTAATTTTTTTCTTGCATTTTGAGCATTTTTTTTCATTTTACCAGCTATCTGATCACTGATCTCTCTGACCTTATCATATAAGGTTCTTCCCTGACATTTAAACATTACATTGTTGTTGGTAAACCAGAAATGCTAGATTAATATCTTTCTTTGTTGTCACTTGACCCATGATCACCATGAATAAAAAAAAATCTGTAGTAATCTTTTCGGTTTTATTTATTCTATTCATAAAAGAAAGGGGTTATCTAATTTTTGTTTTACTGCTATGAACAGATACCATGACCAAGGTAACACTTATAAAGGACAACATTTAATTGGGGCCGGCTTACAGGTTCAGAGGTTCAGTCCATGACCATCAAGGTAGGAACTATTTTGAGACTTTCTTTGTCAAAGCAATTAATAGACATTTTTCCACCTTAACCTCAGGCAGAGTCTTTGGACAATGGCAAAAAGTAGCCACATTCTTTACCAAATATTTCACAAAACAGTTCTAGACTACAAAGTAAAAGTCTTCTCTGAAAACTCTTGAACTAGGTCTCTGCAGTTCAAATTACATTCAGAAATGCTCCATGCTTCTACTAGTATGGGTAATTAAGTCCCACTTAAAACATTCCACTGCTTTACAAATCTCCAAATCCACATTCCTCCAAACAAAAGCATGGTCAGGCCTACCACAGTAATACCCCAGTTCCTGGTACCAAAAGTTCTACATCTTCATCCAAAGGAAGCCAAGAGCCGACTGGTTCCCATGTGACTAGGAGGAGAGTCTTAAAGCCCACCCCTACAATGGCACACTCCCTCCAACAAGACCATATCTCCTAACAGTGCCACTCCCTGCCCCAGGCATATTCAGACCACCAGAGGTCATCAACAAAGGTATATTGAACCAGAATTGACAATTTTTTTCCATATATAGTTTACTTTGATACACATAAAATAGTTTTCAAATATCTAGTTACATAGTAATTTTTGATAAGCATATAGAACTGTTTGTTGTAGAGGAAGATGTTATCTTGAGATTTACAAATGCCCACATAAAAAATAATAACACAAATGTTATGATAATAATGACTTTCTGATTGGATTTAAGGCTCATTCCACAAGAGGCTAAGCATGCTAGGTGCTGTGAATATGGTCAAGAACCTAAGACTGGAACATTCATGAATCTGATGGAGAATGAACTATTATATTTTCCTAAGTATTCCTAAGTATTAAACTGTGTTTGAAACATGTTTCTTTATACTTATAGATTAGTGTAGCTCTCAACACTCATAGGAGAATTCTTTTCTATTTCTCTTGTACCGTGTGCAAGAGGAAACACAGAAATTATAACTGGTCAAAATGAAAAGAATAATATCTGTAGAGACCTTGGGCATAAATCTGCCATGTACATAATTATTGTGTCCACTTCTTCTGGAGATCATTGAGGAAGAAAGTGCAGAAAGATATTAAGAGGCTGATGTTGGGGAGAACCAGAGTAAGAAAAATGTCTTCTGGATTGGTGGGATTGTTGCAATGGGAATGAAGACATGACTGCCTTCACCAGCCCTAAACAGACCAAGCCATGATCAATAATCATTTCATCATGGATGTGGAAGTGGATCACAAGCTCCTAACCCCAGCTGAGGATTTATTGGCACAGATTGTTACTACGATGAAGAATTTTTATTTTAAGGATGTGGTCCCCTGTAGCTTAACCATGATCCAGTGGATGGCACCACACAAGTACCTGTATGAACCACACAAATTGGACCAACTTGGTTGTAAAGCAAAAAGAAGACATGCAGCTGGGTAGGAGGTTGGGGGTATGGATCTAGGAAGAAGTAGACATAGCATAGGGAGATTAGTGTCATCAAAATGTAATATATGAATGTATGAGATTCTCAAGAAACGTATAAGCATATCAAATTAAAAAGAACTCTAAAGTTCAGCATGTGGGAGATGTGGAGGTCAACCTTGTAAAGGAAAAAGTGGGATGGAGAGCAAGGCACCACAGGCTCCTGTGACTCCTCAAAGAATCCTGATCTGCTGTACATGACATTATCGGGCTCCTGGCACACCAGTGAGACAGCAAATAAGAACCGAGGCCAAGGTGATGATTCTCCTTTCACTCCTTTCATGTTTCCTCATTTAGCAGAGCTTTCATTGGATCATGATGACAGTGTGGTGAGATACAATTGGCCAAGGATTTAGGGGCTTGGAATTGGCCCCAATGCTTTATATAAACTTGTAGACTGGGCAATAAACTCAGGTCTGTATCCTGATACTGGTCTCCAGAGTCAGATTTTCTAGGTTTTGTCATGTGACTCTCGTCTCTCACCCCCTAACCTCAGTCTTATTCCCACACCAGAAACAAATATTTTTACCCCATTCAAAAGTTTGTTACATGGTCTCTCATCCTTTGCATAATGTCTAACTGTGGGTTTCTATATTTGTTTTTAACTGCTGTAGGAGAAAATTTCTATGATGAAGGTCTTTTTGGTTTTGGGATACCTAGCTCAGAATATTTTTTTCTAGTTCTATCCATTTGCCTGGAAATTTCTTGATATAATTCTTTTTAATGGATGAGTAATAAATACTAGATTGTGGAAATGAATCACATTTTCTATATTCATTCTTCTGTTAAGGAATATCTAGGTTGTTTTCAGTGTCTGTCTGCTATGAAAACAGCAGTAATGAACATGATTGAGTTAGTGTCCTATGACAGGATGAAGCATAAGAGATCTTGGAACACTTGGTCTAAATGGGATGTCTCCATCAAATTCTTTCCCTAGAGTTCAGGGACCCTGCATAAGAGGGGACAGAAAAAGTATAGGAGCTAGAGGAGATACAGGATGTCAAGAAAACAAGGCTGTTTATATCCATATGAGAAAAGATAGTGGGCTCATAGGTAAAAAATGTAAAGGACCTGCACGGTTCTGCACTAGGTCCTCTGCATTTACATTATGGCTTCCGGTTTAGTATTTTTATGAGATTCCTGAGTGTGTGAACAAGTGGGTCTCTGACTCTTGTGCCTTCTCTTGGGCGCTTTTTGTCCTATAGGTTTATCTTGTCCAATGTCAATATAATGGGTTTTGTTTTTACTCTTTTTATATTATATTTTGTTACATTTATAAAAGTAAATAACTGAATGAAAACCTCATCTCTAGGTTAAAGATTAACAACTGAATTGCCAATTATACCTCCTGGGAGAGGGAAAATGAGTTTTCTCCAATAGAGTGACACTGGGTATATCAACCACAGACCTAATTTTCAGGAGTAGTTGACAAACATATAATTGATTCCACAGTTTGTTTATGTTTTAATTATTTTGTTTGGTTACAATGTGAGCTTTTTTCCCTTTCTCTTTGTGTGTTGTATTTTATTTTCTATATTTGGGAGGGTTTTGTTTATTTTTTGAGAAAAAACTCAAAGTTGAATGGGTAGGGAGGAGGAGAGAAAAAGGACTTGGTGGAAAGGAAGAATGTGATCAAAATATACTTAAATTTAAAATTGTTTTAAATAAAAATACAATAAAATGGAAAAACAACAAAAATAAAAATGTTAATGTAAATGTGCGAAAAATTGAATTGAATACCAACTTACACAATAACGTATTTTTTAAAAAAAGTTATGCACCATTTCTAAAGCAAACTATCAAAAGATAGTAAAAAATAATCCTACACCATAGGCCACACCTGTGGCACAGTGTAGTGATGGAGAAATTAGAGTGGAGAGACAGAAAACAAAGAGAAGCAGAATGGTTTCTGGACTATGAAGAGATGGAGACCTGGAGATGCAAAGGTGCTTACTATTCTTGCTCCTTGGT